ATATATATATATATATACATGGGGGCGCTCCAACATGGTACCCCTAATTTTGGGCAACGCGTATAGTAGTCGTTTCCATGATTCTGGTATACCCTTCCTGTGTTCTCTAGTAGCTATTAGTGGGCACCAAATCCAGATACCCTACCAGCAAGATGTAGCTAGAAATGAGTTTTCAGGCCTGGGCGCTTTAAAGGGGGTTGCTAAAACCACCTGAGCTATAGTCTAAATTCCTTAGAGGGACGTTATGCAGGGGAGTATTATAGGGGCTATTAATGGGGATACTAGGAGTTTAGACTATTGTTTACCCAGAAATTGGAGGTCTAGCTGCGGCTTAAGGTGTGGTAAGGCATCCTGGTAGTTCAAGTATATGGGAGCTTTAGGGTTATAGTCCACCTTAAGTAGATAGAATATGGCTTTGGGTATATTATAATAAGATACCCATATACCCCATATTCTATCTACTCAAGGGGGACTATTGAGTTTAGGTATAACCTAATCCTGCAGATCCCCCCAACAAAAAGAAGTAAGGAAAAAGAGAAGCGCCGGGAGTTTGCAACGCAAGTCAGCAGGGATGTTGCTGTGTGGATGGTCCTTGCATTTGCAACGTCGGGCACAGAGTTTGCCCAGTACGTCATCTATGCTGGTGCGGGATCCGTTGCCTTTGCAGTATGCTACCAAATTTACTGCGCATTGCAGAAAAGCGGGTCTTGAGCAAGCTTTGCTCCAATCTATGCAGCTTTCACGTGCTGGTGACGCTCACGGTCGGCTACAGTACTGCCTGCGGTGCTTGCTTGGCCAAAGCAGGTTGACGAGATTTTCCGGCCTGGTGCAAGAGTACATTTGTTGAACGTGAAGCGCTAAGTGCGGCGACCAGCTCCGCAACAAGGCAGCGGACCTTGTGTACCTAGGACCTAAGGTTTAGGGTTGGAGTTTAGGGATCAGGGTTGCAAGTTCTGCCGTGAAGCTTTAGAGACTTGCTCTCTCTGGACCAGGACCAATGCAGGCCAACTGCTGGATGAAGTGCACTTCACTGATCTCATGCAAAAAGAGTGCATTCCGGCAGGTCTCAGTAAAAAGCTCCAGGAAGCAATCACTCAATCTTCTCCATTAAGCTACGCTCACAGCTTGATTTGGACAGCGTTTTTCGCTGTTTCTGATCAACACCTTCAGCGTTACAGCACATCTTCCACACTTCCTTCTAACAACACAGTTTAGGGTTTTAGGGTGAGAGCGTAGTAGGCTTTATGAAGAGAACTAGGGGTCTCAAAATGGGGAACTGGGTTTTATGAGGCGAGATCTTGTTTTGGGGGGCATCTAGGGATCCTGTTGTGAAACTCCCGAAAGGTAGCATTTTTGGCTGTCCGTGTGTCAAAGATTTGCTTTCTTGTTGGGTTGATTTTAAATTACTTATGGTCCGGGAAACGGGGAACGCTGATCTTGATGAATACTGGAAGCGCTACTGTTTTCTTGGGAAGTTTGTGTTTCGTCGTTGCATATCAATTGTTTAGGGCGCTGCTTGCGAAGTCCCGCAATTCCGAGCGTGTTCGGGATAAAGCCTCGTCCTGGACTTCCACCATAATTACGCAGTATCGCCATTCTCCACCAAGTTCAGTTCACATCCCCACAGGTAGCATGCTCTCACGTTTGCATTGATGCTGCAAGAATAGCATGTGAGGGATGAGGGGTAGGATTGTGCTTGAAGGGGAACCATCCAATCCAGTGCAGTGCACTTCACGCGTTATAGTTTTTTTGTAAGAGCTTGGATCTTCCAAGAGCTAGAATCCGCACCGTAAACCCTGAGCTCTGATCTGCAAGCTGAGGGTCTCCACTAAAATATCTTAGCAGCAGGTTTCAAAGGTCCTAATCGTGGGGCCCCGATACCGTAGGATTTAGCGCTTGGGGATATTGCCACCGAACAGGAGAAGAAGATGGAAAACAAATACAACATGGAACGGAAACTGTGAGTGTATAGTGGTTTGAAGGGGGGTTGGTGTTTCCCAAAAAGTACGTGTACCATTTTGATGTTTTCTAGAAGAAGTATTATGGTACTGTTGGGGCCTATTTGGATCCGCCTATTTGAGGAAACTATCATATCGGCGGCTACCTAATCCAATATGGGCCCGACATGGTACGCAAGGACTGGGAACCATGGTGCCAACCTTTGAAAACCCTGAGCCATAAGCAATCCTAAGCTGCAAGGCAGGGGCTATAGTTCCACCCTAAGAATGCTGGACGACCACACTGGTCCCCACAAAATCTGTTTAATGCTCACTGGAGCCCATTCCCCCATTCACAGGCTGGACCCCGACGGACAGCTGCAGTTCTTGGGTGTGGAAGCTCAGCAATGGTTCTGTAGGATTATCCTGCCCCCAAAAATTTTGCGGAACCAGGAAGACATCACTGTCGGAATTAAAGGTAGGTTCTCTACATATACATATATATATATATCTACAATATATGTAAATATAAATAAATACGTATATATATATATATCTATCTATCTATCGGTATATATGTATATATATATATATATGGTTGCATGTTAGTCTGGGGGAGGGTCGGATTTGGATGTTCGAGGTTGGGAATTTAAGGTAGGCTTGTAGAGTTGAGGGTATTGCGGGGTTCAAGTTAAGGGCTTGATCCCATTTTTGCGTTGACACGGAGCAGTTTCTCAACAACTTTCAAGTCCTGCATCGCGACCCTTGGAAAATCTGGACAATCCCAATATGTTGCGCGAACGCACTGATTTTAAGAAACTAGTCTGACAAGAGGTTCGTACTTTGGGTACTGCCCCCACTCAGTAATAGTTGGATAATATTTATAGTATGGTTATATATAGCCCTTAATGGGACCCCTAATATAGACAGTTACTGCAGTACCCAATACCCAATTCATACTGATTTTATTTCGAGGTAAGAGTCCAAGATTCTTTCTATAGGGTCTCAGTATCCATCTAGCATAAACTTAGACCGGACAGTAGGGTTACCGGGAGCCATTTGGACCAAAATGATACACGATTTATGTACTTGGACCGTTCGGCTGTTTCATTAGGACCTGGCAGGGACGTGCCAGAAAAAAATCTAGCTAATGAGCACGCAATTTGCATTGCTTGCAAGGCCAGTTCTCAACATAGGTCCCTTTGTGGGCCCATGATGTTCTCAGAGGTTTGGCCATCAAAAGGGTGAAGCTCCTGATGAAACTTTAATTTTCAAAAACGATGGACCATCTTGTCAAAGGCGTGGATGCCTGTAGTTTCTTGCGATCCGAATAAGTAGTTTTAAGGCCCTGTCGGTTGAGGGATGCAGACCCAGCATGCAGTGTCCGGGAAGGACGAAAACATTTCGAATCTCACACTACTGTAGCCTTACAGCTATCATTCGTGCAGAGTTTAGTTGTGCAGGGTTTGCTGTTGGTTTTATGAGGATTTGCTCGTACTTTTAGACACAGACCCCAGACCCTCCACTGCTTTCTCAAACGTCATGGCTTGCCACCACCGCCCTATAAAAAAAATCTAGGTTCCGCCTTAGTTATATTGTCCCCAGATGACCCTAGTTAAGGGGGGACCGACCAGAAAGCCAAAACCCCAAACCCTGGTAGTAGGTGAACCCATGAAACAGATCTGCTGCCGAGGTTGCCAAAATGGCTTGGCTGTCCTGACGCTTCCTCAGATCAGGCTAAAGGTAGTAGGATACCACCATTTTGGGGAAGTTTTCCGTAGCTAGCGTGATTAGGGGTCCCCAGAAAGCGGTTGTAGGGGAGATATAGGGGTCATAAAGGGGTAATAAGTATGTATGTATGTATGTATGTATGTATGCATGTAAACAGATAGTTAGATAGATAGGGTTAAGGGTTCCCAGAGAATTCGTTGACCTTTCGTGGTTCCCTATAGCAGGGTTTGTAGTATGTAGGAGCCTATTTTGGAACCCGTATTCTCTGGAACCTACGACATATGTGTACATACCAATGTGTGTACATATTATACACATACTGAGACTGAGACTGAGTGAGAGAGAGAGAGAGAGAGAAGTATACGTCTCCAAACATATATAGTTATATCAGTTATATCCGTGAAATCCTTGAGAGTGAGCTTGATATTTCCCCTGCTGTTCCTAGAAATGCTTTACCTGAAGCCCTATACAAACCCTGAGGTCGCGGAGCACAGTGTCAATCTGAAAGGCAGAAACCTCCCCCTTCTTGGCAGCTATTCGCAGAGGCTCCGAAATCCCAGCCCCTTGGTTTAGAGAATATATCCCCTTAGATTACTCAACCCTAAGCCTAAACCTCTAGATCACATTCCTAGATGCAGATAGACTATGCAACCCTAGATCATGGCTCTGCCTGAGGGGGAGTGCAACCTGAGATTCTGGATTATCTTCAAGGCAGGAGCACGTCGCACCCTAAACCCTAAACAATTGATCCTAGATCTCAATAACCCTCAATCCAAACCTTACATCCTAAACCTTCAACCCCAAGACCCAAAAACCCAGCTCAAGACGAGCCCCAGCCTTCAGTACAGGTATATTTCGATGGTCAGTGATAAGCCCCAATTCCTGATCCACGGTAATTGTTTAGGGTTTAGGGTTTTGTCGTACCTTTCCGGGAGGGTGGGTCTCACTCATACCGCGCATTGAAAAATCATAACAAGCCAAAAGCCTAAACCCAAGACACCCAAAGGCCCAACTTTCAAAGCCACGTGCTGCTCAGTGGGACACAGGATGTCTAACATCCTGCAAGACTTTATGACTCTAAACACCGGAAGATAGGGCTTGGGCTTTAGGATATAGGGTTCAAGTTTTAGGGTTTAGGATTTAGGGTTCCGGGCTTAGGCTTTAGGAACACTGGAAGGTACGGTTTTATATCTGGAGTTTCTCGGAATGCTCCCCTTCCCTGCAAGCACATGTGTATCCCCGAGGTCTCAAAGGGCCTCGTATTTCTGGGTACCATTTTTCTAGCTTTTCTGTCGGCATCACTTCATTAAATCTGAACATATTAGAAAAAGGAGTATCCGTATTAGTACGGGTCTACTGGGGAACCTAGATTTTGAGAAATTCACAAATGTGCGTCGAGAACCTTGGACCCTGAAGCCAAAACCCCAAACCCCTACACCCTAAAAGAAATTCCCCATAAAACTCTGAACCCTAAACCCTAAAACCTAAACGGAAGCCCAGTTCCACCCCCCCCAAGCCAAACTGTAAACCCCGGACCCTAAATTGTTTGGTTATTCAGCAGCAGTATGTGCCAAGGGGCTCTGATCACTCCTCTTGGGCCTTCACGAAGTTGCTGGACCCTGTGCCTGGTTTGTAGGGTTTGGGTTGGGTGTTTGTACCGCTTGGGGCTCAAAGTTTGTAGGGTTTGTAGGGCATAGAGTTTCGAGTTTGCAGGGTTTCGCGTTTATAGTGTAGAACGTGTACGGTTTAGGTTTTGCATTCGTATAGTAGTTGTCGTAGGGTTGCGGGCTTTCTATGTTGTACTGTTATTAAGAGTTTGTAGATTTTGGTGGGTTCGTAGGGTTTAGTGTATTCGAGTTTGCATAGGGTCCAGACCTGGTACGGTTTAGGGTTTAGAGCGTGTAGTTTTTAGAGTTTGTACGGCTTGGGATCTAGAGTGTGCTGCACGGTAAGGTTTGGAGTTTGTATGGTTTAATTCGGATTCATAGTTTTCTCGGTTTAGGATTTAGGGTTCGTAGGGTCTATAGTTTAGAGTTTGTAGAG